GCTTCTTGGGCAACATCAACGAAGTTCGCTGGGCACAGATCCCTGGAAGTGGGGTGGCGCCATCGGCGCATGGATACACAGCCCAGCGCAGGTAGACGCCCTAAACCCTAAACCCTAAACCCTACACCCTAAACAGTTAAAATCCAACAGAAACTCGGCTCACAACTACCACACACTGCAGCTTAAACCCTGAACCTTATCACACATGCGCACTCATGACACGCTGTTTAGGGTTTAGGGTTTAGGGTCTACAAAAACAATTCATAGACGCTAAAGCTGATTTCGCCGAAAGTCGAGGACGAAGATTTTGAAATGCAACCCTCCCCCCCAAACTAGCATGCAATCCCTACCAAGGGGGCCCTACGTAGACGACCTGCCAGTGAAAAAGGGACTATATGTTTGGTGGAATGCGCACCAAATCATAGTGTGATGGTGATCATTATTTGGGTCCTCTTATATTTCTATCATACCACCCTGAGAGGGTTCAGGGTCCACCTAAGCTACATGGGTTCCATGTTACTTCAAAACTCAAGATCAGGGGTCCCCCTAGGGTTTTGGATATACTGCGCCCTCGTTTCCCACTTAGTTGACCTCAATCAGTCGTGATGAGAGTTTTTCAGCAAGGTGGAACCTTGCGGTGGTTGTTGGGTGAACCATGACAACATGTTAAGTCCAAGACTGAAACCTGCAGATGATAAACTTTAGACCCTATAACCTACAACACTAAGCCCCAATTCCCCGAAGCCACTTAAACTCAAACGGCAAAACCGTCAGCCTAGACATCAAACTCTCCAAAGCCCAACCCCCTAAGGTCTGCAGCCCCCAAGCCCACAACGCTCTCAACCCCACACATCGCAAGCATCAACCCTAAACATCAAACACCAAAGCCCTCAACATCAGGCAGTCCCTCATCGACATCTGCGACCCGTGGAAAGATCCCATTCCACTTCCGGTGCCTGGAGCGTGCCACCCTCAAACAAACGAACTTGTAACACCAAACAAGGTCTAGCACCACGGGCTATTGGACCATAGAATTCCCTATTAGGACCCAATTAAGGGTAGATTAAGGTACCCTTACGGGTCTAGACCATAAACCCTAAACCCTTAACCCAAAACCCCAAACCCAAAAGGGTAGATTAAGGTACCCTTAAGTTCTAATAGCCCATAGGTGGTACCGTCCTACCCTGACAAATTTTGTTTTGTTTTGGAGGCGGCTTGGTAGCTTCGCAGTCTTGAGTTCAATTTATGGGTTTAGGGTCTAAGGGTTTAGGGGTTTAGGGGTTTAGGGTTTCGGGATTTAGGGTTAGGGGTTGAGGGGTTGAGGGGGTTGAGGGGTTTAGGGTTTAAGGGTTTAGGGGTTTAGGGTTCAGGGGTTTAGGGGTTGAGGGGTTTAGGGGTTGAGGGGTTTAGGGTTTGGAATTTAGGGGTTTAGGGGTTTAGGGATTAGGGGTTTGAGTTAGTTAAGGTTCAAAGTTTGACTTCCATTACACAGGGTTGAGGCTCTAGCATGGCGTCTTGGACAGCACTTTGGTTCTCCCACACCATAAGCCCTAAGATGTAAACCCTAAAAGTCTAAACCCTAAACCCTAAGCCATTAACCCTAAACCCTAAGATTAAAAACCAAGCGCTAGTCCCAAATCAGAGATTCTCAACAGGAACGCAGACCCAACCCAGCCACTACTAGGCAGCGCAAACTTGATACAGTGAGTCAGTAAAGAGTTCTCTCAAACATTAATACCCGGACAAACTACGCAGTCGAGGGTTAGGATTTAGGTAGGGGTTTAGGGTGTAGGATTTAGGGTTCAGGGCTTAGGGTTTAGGCCTTAAGATTTAGGGTTTAGGTCTTGGGGTTGAAGGCTTAGTGTAGACATTCCCCGAATAGCTCTCCGCTCCCTGTGCCTTTTGGGGGGACATATAGGTGTTTAGGGTTTAGCGTTAAGGGGTATTCAAAATAGTGGATATTTGACACTCAGACCCAAACCCTATTCCCTAAACTCTAAACCCTGAACGCTAGACCCGAGACCCTATTCCCTTCACCCTAAACGCTACATTCCGCAAGCAGCCCTAAACCCTATCAAGTCCTAAATGGTAAACCCTTAAGCCCTATAACCCTAAACCCTGAACCCTAATCCTATTCCCTACAGCCAATAACATGGGGCTTAGGGTATACAAGGAGGGGCCCCCTAGTCACACAACTAATTTTACAAGTCCCATAACTAGAACTTATGGAAGTTATGACTATCGTTTTCCTAACTTATAACCCACCGTAGAACTAGGAGAACCTCCCTGTAGGAACTCAGGGACGGCGTCAAGTCCAGCTGAACCATGAATCGTAAACCCGCGATTTGTGGTTTAGGGTTTAAGGTTTAAAGAATAGGGTTTAAGGTTTAGGGTTTAAGGAATGGGTTTATAGGGTGTAGGGCTCAGGGAATAGAGGGTTTGCGGTTACGGGAATAAGGTTTAGGATTTAGGGTTTAAGCTGTAGGGTCTAGGGGTTAGGAGTTGGGCTTAGGATCGTATGGCCATGCAACCATGTAAGCCCTGAACTGCAAGCTCTAAAGCCTAAGCACTGCACCCTGAGGCCTAGACTAAACATTGAGTCGTGACCTCTGAAGCCTACGTGGTTTAGGGTTTACAGGGAAGGGCCCCGCTATAATTTAGGATACTATAGCCATAAATTCCATAATTTCTAGTTATGGGACATTCAATATTAGTTCTGTAACTAGGGGCCCCTCCTCGTAGGGTAAGCAACCCGACATGGAACCTTGTTCTGTAAACAACGCTTCCTGATTGAGATCTACAAAAGGCCAGTTGGGAACAACCGCTATAAAACCTAAACCCTGAACCTGTTCCCTAAGGGTCCAAGTACCCAAATAATAGAGCTTTAGGGCCCAAATCCTACAATCTGAACGGTATTTGGGAACTGATAACCCTATGATTTGGGTACCTGAACCCTCTAACCCTAAACCCTAAACTTTAAACCCTAAGCCCTAAACCCCAGACCGCGTGGCTTGCTATTCCTGCTGCTCAGCTACCAAGGTGCGACCTAAACTCTGGACCCTACTTGGAGGCCCATGAGACTTAGCAATTACGTATAACTGGGCTTATAACCCTACTTATCATCCCCCTAAATGGGCTTATAGGGGGTTACCCCCAGTTATAAGTAGGCTTATAATCCCACTTATAAGTACTTACTAGTCCCATGGGCCTCCAAGTACACCCTACCTAGACCCTCCAATGTAGTACCTTTTGGGTAGTCCTAATAACAGTCCTAACTAAAAACCATACCAAACCCAAAAAAGGAACTACATTGGAGGTTCCCGGTAAGCTCTTATCGTCCCTAAAGGCACCTGCAGCCCGCACGCCAAGTTTCACTGCCATGTCCACCGCAAGTCTGCAGAGGCATTGGTTTCATGGGGCCTGGGGTCTAGGGGTTTATGGAGAAGCAAAGAGTTCAGTGGGTTCAGGGCTTAGGGCTTGCTCGCTCAGATTTAATGTGTGCACGACTGAAAGCTTGAGAGCCCCTGCTGGGAAGGTATAGCAGTGAACTTCACCGGGCTATAGAAAGGCTAGCTCAAGATGGGAATGTGAGACCGAGCTGCTGGGGAGGGTATGATACCCAAGCCTCTAGGAAGGAAGGAAGGACGGAAGGAAGGAAGGAAGGAGGTCCTAACCGCTCAGCTCCGCACCGACATAGCCAGCACAAAATTACGATGAGTGCTACTACCCAGTTGAGCAGGTAAAGTGCGATGATTGGGAGATTCTTGAAGATTCATTGCCGTGCCGTCCAGCCGAGTGCTGACTAGCCGAAGACGGCTGCCACTACCACAAGTCTCTGCGCGTGTATATCTAAATAAACATATTAAATGGGGGTCCCCAATAAAGACCCTACAATACAATAACCCATACTATTGGGATCTCCAAAAGGGTACGTACCCCCCCCCCCCAATTTTGGAAACACCCATTTCAATATCTGGGATCCAGCTGCATGCTCTGGATCCCAAGCCTGCAATTTCTCCTGGCTCGTGGGCGTGGTTGACCAGTACAAGGTTGACTTTGCAGAAATGGCTGACTGGTAGCTTCATGGGTTCCCCTACCAATCCCCTCTATACTGCATGGTCCCATATTGGGTCCCCGTTACAATGCGGCCTCTAACTTATTTAGGGTACTCAAAAAGTTGATCACAATTCCAGGAACCTATACCCATGGGGAGAAAAAAGGGCTTAGGGTCTCAGGATCCCGTAGCCCCAGACACCAAAGTCATTTGGAATTCTAGATGTCTAGTTCAAGGCCTAGGAACCTTTCGCTCATCCCGAAAAGCCTACATCCTAAACCCTAAATCCCATATCCTAGACCCTAAACCCTAAATCCTAAACCCTAAATCCCATATCCTAAACCCTAAACCCTAAATCCTAAACCCTAAATCCCATATCCTAAACCCTAAACCCTAAATCCTAAAGCCTAAATCCTAACCCTCCCAAAGTTGTTGTAACACGCCCAGCTCGACCTCTCCATCTCCTCGAACTTGGAGCGCACCATCCTGGCCGACACTAACAGAGGTTTAGGATTTAAGGTTATATAGAGGTTACATAGGGATAATGGAAAAAGAGGCTGGAAACTAACTACTATTTTGGGGTTTGGGGTTAAGGGGTTTAGGGGTTTAGGGTCTGGAGCTTGGGGGGTTAGAGTTTAGGATTTAGGGTTTGCGGTTTAGGGTTTAAGGCTTGGGGGTTGAAGTTCTTGACTTGAGGCTTGGGGTTTAGGAATCAAGGTTGGGGTTTGGAGTTAAGGCATTCAGAGTTTAGGTTGGGTACTGCCCCCCTTAGTAACAGTTGGATAATAGTTATAATATGGCTATATGTAGCCCTTAATAGGACTCCTTATATAGACTGTTACTGGGGGGGGCAGTACCCAGAGTTTAGGGTTTCGGGCTTGGGGTTCAGGGGGTGTAGTAAAAGGCCATAGTTGGTGGTAGTAACCTTGTTGGGTAGGTTGCCCCAGTCAAAACACCTTTGTCTTTTAGAGCTTGGGCCTTAGGATTTTCAAATGAGCTATGTAGTCTAAACTCCTAGTATTCTCTTTAAGAACCCCTACCGTAATCCCCTATAAATTCCTCTAGATAATCCCCCTTAAGGAGTTTAGACCCTAAATCCTAAACCTTAAACCCTAAATCCTAAACCCTGTATAATCCCTATATCATCCCCCTCTAAGGAATTTAGACTATAGCTCCAATAATCTGAGGGCTCAGAATCCCAGGGCTCTGGGCTGCAGGCGCTGTGATTTCGGGCTTACGAGGGCTTTTGAGGTAACGGAGGCTAAAGTAAGTACGCACGGCTAAACCCTAGACCTCTCCAGAGTGTACATGTTACAAGCCAAGGTAAAGACACCTCACATTTCAACGAAGAAGGTTGGACCATAATTAATGTTTACTGCGCTTTAGGGTTAAGGGTCAGAATACTTAGAGGATGTGGTAGTGTCCATACATAAGGGAAACCCAATATAGTCCTTTTTTGTGGGGAACCCAAAAAAGTACTCCGATTCTTTTCAAATCTCCGCATATTTGTTCGTAAGATTCCGTGGCCTGTCCAAGTTTCCCACAGCGCTATCATCATAGGCCTGCACGCAGAGCAGGAAGAGCTAGAGGAGGTTTCAGAGAGTAGGGTTTAAGAATTAGGAGCTTAGTGCGTCTGCTGCCCCCGCTGCATCAAGTCCTAAGTCCTATCATGACGCTGGGGATAAGCTGCTACCTTTCTCGCGGCAACGGTCAGCCCAATGCTTACTCCTTGCAGCAGAGGTAGCACCCGCAAATCAAATACTCATGATAGTTCTTCTAGTGCCTATTAAGCTGCTTGGAGAGATGCATGATGAGGCTTCACGATCAAAGTCATGGCTGCTGGTGCAGGAAACCTGATGCAAACAGGATTTGGGGTTTCGGCCTAGGGTGTATGGCTGAGGGTTTAGCAGTTCAACAGAATGAAGTGACTGTCAGTGAAATTTGATCAGTGGCAATGCCGCAAACAACATCAGCAAGCGACTTTCCATTTTTGTCATTCCATTGCCCTAAATCCCCCCCCCCCCCCCAAATAATATATAAGTTGGGTCAATCGCCCCACCAAGTAATGGGTACCACAAAGGACTCTTGTACGTGTATTAAGTACCTAACATTTCCATATTTAGGTGCCATTACTGTTGGAGAGGATTGACCTAATATCTAACCCCATAATGGAAATCTATATCTAAATATTTGTATGCCCTATATAAACCCTGTGACCCCTAAAAAACTGTAGTCCCTATCAAAAGCCTGAACCCTAAACCCCAAATGCTACGCCCTGCACCCTAAACCCCTAAGCCCCTAAACCCTAAATATTAGTTTCCATTTTCTTTTCCATGCATTATCCCTATATCCCCTATACAGCCCCAAATGCCTAAAAAAACAGCCCAAAAGGCCATTATTCTACCTACTTTTAGGGTTCAGGTAGATTCCTAAAATACCTAACATACCTACCAGCGTAGAGATTTCCATTTTCTTTTCCATTATCCCTATATAAAGCCTATGTTAACCATAAATAGGTACCCGTAACCCCCCAAACCCTATATACTCCCCTAAACCCTACTCCGAACCCCTACTTGGAGGTTCATTGTACTTATAACCTACTTAGTAACTGTAGTTATAACCAAAGTATAAATCCCATAACCACAGCTACTTTAGATATAATTGGGTTATAACTACAGTAACTAAGTAGGTTATAAGTACAATGAACCTCCAAGTAAACCCTAAACCCTAATCTTAACTCAGGAGTCATTATAAGGGATTACAATAGTAAACCCCCCCCCCCTCACCCACCCAAAGGTACACCCCCCCCAGATTTAGGGATTAGGGTTTAGGGTAACCCAAAAAATGCCTACAGCGCCTCGGCAGGCTCAGGCCAAGGCAGCTGAGGAGAGGCAAGGCCACCTTCGAAGGGAAGTTTTAGGGTTTAGGGTTTAGGGGTTTAGGGCTTAGGGTTGAGGGTTTGGGGTTTAGGGTTTAGGGTTCAGGGTTTAGCGTTTAGGGTATAGAGTTTAGGGT